AAGAAAGAAAGAAAGAAAGAAAGAAAGAAAGAAAGAAAGAAAGAGAAAGAAAGAAGAAAGAGAAAGAAAGGAAAAGAAAGAGAGAGAAAAGAAAGAAAGAGAAAGAAAAAAGAAAGAAATAAAAGAAGGACGGAAAAAAAGACCAAAAGAAAGATAGAAACAAAAAAAGACAGAAAGAAAAAGAAAGAAAGAGAGCTCAAGCCCAAGGAGCTGGAGGGGACCAAAGCCAAATGTGAGTGTACCTTCATTGCGATCAACCAGATGGGGTCCAGCGGGGTCTTGTGGGAGAGATTATCAAGCGTTTTGAGCAGAAGGGATTCTGCCTTGTTGGTCTGAAATTCATGGAAGCTTCTGAAGACCTTCTCAAGGAACACTACCTGATGGACCGTCCACTCTTTGCCGGCCTGGTGAAATACATGCACTCAGGGCCAGTAGTTGCCATGGTCTGGGAGGGGCTGAACGTGGTGAAGACAGGCCGAGTCATGCTCGGGGAGACCAACCCTGCGGATTCCAAGCCTGGGACCATCCACGGAGACTTCTGCATACAAGTTGGCAGGAACATTATACACGGCAGCGATTCTGTGGAGAGTGCAGAGAAGGAGATTGGCTTATGGTTTCACCCTGAGGAACTGGTAGATTACAAGAGCTGTGCTCAGAACTGGATCTATGAATGACCAGATGGCAGACCACAATGCTTTTCACATTCATTTCCCCTCCTTCCCATGGGCAGAGGACCAGGCTGTGGGAAATCTAGTTATTTACAGGAGCTTCTTCATAATTTGGAGGGAAACCCTTGGAGCTGTGAGTGCTCCCTGTACAGTGTTACCATCCCCTACCTCAGATTAAAATGCTTCCTCCCAACAGAGGATTCATGGTGAAAAAAAAAAAAAAAAAAAAGAAGGAAAGAAAAAAAAGAAAAGAAAGAAGAAAGAAAGAAGCCAAGGCTACGGGCGCCCACCACCACACCAGCTACTTTTTCTATTTTTAGTAGAGATGGGGTTTTGCCATATTGGCCAGGCTGGTCTCAAACTCCTAATCTCAGGTAATCCATTCACCTCGGCCTCCCAAAGTGCCGGAATTTCAAGCATGAGCCATTGGGGGTGGCCTTTTTAATTGGGCAACATGGTAAAACATGGTCTCTACAAAAAGTTAAAAAGTCTATATTCTGAGCTACTTGGGAAGCTGAGGCAGGAGAACCACTTGAACCCGGGAGGCAGAGGCTGCAGTGAGCCAAGATCATGCCACTGAACTCCAGCCTGGCAACAGAGACTTCATCTGAAAAACAAAAACAAAAACAAAAAAAAGCCAGACGTGGTAGTGCGTGACTGTAGTCCCAGCTGCTGCCCTGGAGGCTGAGGTGGGAGGATCACTTGAACCCTGGAGATGGAGGTTGCGCTTAGCCAGGATTGCACCACTGCACTCCAGCCTGGGTGACACAGTGAGACTTCTATCCCTGCAAAAAATAAAAAATCTTCCTTTATCTACAAGAGATACCTGGTGTGAAACTCGTAATGAGGAAATAACGCAACCGACTGTGTACACTCAGAAACTTGAGAAAAGTGACCAGGATCTCAGCAAGTACCACCTGTGACACTTCCTTCTATTCAATCAAAATAAGAAGAGATGAATTCCGTTTACAAATCACTTCATACTGTTCAAATCAACACATCAAATGGTGCATTTGGAGGACTTATTTGAGCTCCCAGAGGCCATGTGAGTAGAGGAGGGGGACTGAAGTCACAGAGGACACTCAGGTGAAGGCATCAGTTGACATAGCAGGTCAGCCAAGTGAAGGAGGTGGCTGATGTACTAGAAGAGACCCAGGTGGAGGAGGTGGCTGAGGGAAGAGAGGTGTGAGTAGAGATTAAGTACCAGACAAGACTCATGTCAAGATACTAGCTAAGGGGCCAGAGGTCACCAAACTGGGAACAGTGGCTAAGGTTCCAGAAGCCACTCATGTGAAGATGGGAGCTAAGGGACCAGAGGCCACTAAGGTAGAGAAGGTGGCTGAGGTTCCAGAAGCCACTCATGTGAAGACGACAGCTAAGGGAACAGAGGCCACTAAGGTAGAGAAGGTGGCTGAGGTTCCAGAGGCCACTCATGTGAAGATGACAGCTAAGGGAACAGAGGCCACTAAGGCAGAGAAGGTGGCTGAGGTTCCACAGGCCACTCATGTGAAGACGATAGCTAAGAGAGCAGGGGCCACTAAGGTAAAGAAGGCGGCTGAGGTTCCAGAGGCCACTCATGTGAAGACAATAGCTAAGGGAACAGAGGCCACTAAGGTAGAGAAGGTGGCAGAGTTTCCAGAGGCCACTCATGTGAAGACGACAGCTAAGGGAACAGAGGCCACTAAGGTAGAGAAGGTGGCTGAGGTTCCAGAGGCCACTCAGCGGAGAATGCTGAGGTCCCAGAGGCCTCACAACTAGAAGAAGAAGATGAAGTCCCCCAGGAAAGATAGAAGGATAAGGTGGATGTGGCCCCCAGGAGAGACACCTGAAGGAGGTGGATGGGGTTCCACAGGACAGAAACCTGAATAACTCCTTGTTTGCAGTCTCCCTGGACAGAGAGCAGGATGAGGTGGTTGAGGTCCCCCAGGACAGACGCCTGAAGGAGGTGGATGGGGTTCCACAGGACAGAAACTTCAATAACTTGTTTGTGGTCTCCCTGGACAGAGAGCAGGATGAGGTGGTTGAGGTCCCCCAGGACAGACACCTGAAGGAGGTGGATGGGGTTCCACAGGACAGAAACTTCAATAACTTGTTTGTGGTCTCCCTGGACAGAGAGCAGGATGAGGTGGTTGAGGTACCTTAGGAAAGACAGCTGGATGAGGTGGATAGGGATCCAAAGGACAGACACAGAATTAGTTGTATGGGGTCCCCCAGACAGACAGCAGGATGAGGTGGTTGCAGTTCCCCAGGACAGACATCTGAATGAGGTGGATGGGGTTCCACAGGACAGACACCTGAATAAATTGTATGGGGTCCCCCTGGACAGATAGCATGATGAAGCTATTGAGGTACCTCAGGATAGACAGCTATATGAACTGGATATGGTGTCACAGGACAGACATCTGGGTAAGTTGTATGTGGTTTCCATGGACAGACAACATGATGAGGTGGCTGAGGTCCCCCAGGACAGACACCTGAACAAGGTGCATGGGGTTCCACAAGACAGACATCTGAAAAAGTTGTTGGTGGTCACCCTGGACAGATGGCAGGATAAGGTGGTTGAAGTCTCCCAGGACAGACACCTGGACGGGGTAGACAGGGTTCCACAGGACAGACACCTGAATAGGTTGTATGGGGTCCCCCTGGACACACACCAGGATGAGGTTGAAGACCCCTGAATGAAGTGGATGGGGTTCCACAGGACAGACACCTGAATGAATTGTATGAGGTCCCCCTGGACAGACAGCAGGATGAGCTGGATGGGGTTCCACAGGACAGATGGCAGGTTGCGGTGTCTGAAGTCCCCCAGGACAGACACCTGAATGACGTGGATGGGGTTCCACAGGACAGACAACTGAATAAGTTGTATGGGGTCCCCCAGGACAGACAGCAGGATGAGGTGGTTGAAGTCCCCCAGAACAGACACCTGAACGACTTGGATGATGTTCCTCAAGACAGACATATGAATAAGTTGTATGGGGTCACCCTGGACAAATGGCAGGATGAGGTGGTTGAAGTCCCCCAGGACAGACACCTGAATAAGGTGGATGGGGTTCCAAGAACAAACACCTGAATAAGTTGTATGAGGTCCCCCTGGACAGGGGGCAGGTTGAGTCAGTTGCAGCCCCCCAGGACAGATAGTTGAACTAGATGAAAGGGGTTCCACATGATAGACACCTGAATAAGTTGTATGTGGTCAACCTGGACCAACAGCAGGATGAGGTGGTTGAAGTACCCCAGGACAGACACCTGAACAAGGTGGATGGGGTTCCACAGGACAGACACCTGAATAAGTTATATGGGGTCCCCCTAGACAGATGGCAGGATGAGGAGGTTGAAGTCCCCCAGGACAGACACATGAACAAGATAGATTGGGTTACACAGGACCGACACCTGGAAAGCTTATATAGGATCTCCGTGGACAGACAGCACGATGAGGTAGTTGAAGACCTCCAGGACAGACACTTGAACGCGGTGGATGGGGTTCCACAGGACAGACACCTGAAAAAGTTGTATGTGGTTACCCTGGACAGAGAGTAGGATGAGGTTGTTGAAGTCCCCAAGGACAGACACCCTGAACGAGATGGATGTGGTTCCACAAGACAGACAACTGAATACGTTGTATGGGGTCCCCTTGGACAGCCATCAGGATGAGGTTTTTTAAGTCCCCCACAACAGACAGCTGGATGACCTGGATGGGGTTCCAAAGGAGAGACATGTGAATTAATTGTATGGGGTCCAAATGGACAGACAGCACGATGAGGTTATTGAGGTACCTCAGGACAGAGCTGGATGAGTGGGATGGGGTTCCACAGGACAGACACCTGATTAAGTTGTATGGGGTCCCCCTGGACAAACAGCAGGATGAGGTGGTTCAGGTACCTTAGGACGGAGAGCTGGAAGAGGTTGATAAAGTAACCCAGGAGATGCAGCTAAAGTAGGTGGTGCAGGTTCCACAAACCGAACAGCTGAAAGAGGTAAAGGAGGTTCCACATGATATTCTAATAGAGATATGTATAAGATCTCAGAGGACACTCGGTTGGTGGAGATGTCTGTGGTTTCAGATCATCAGCTGGAGAAGGCAGTGGAGGTACCACCACTGACTCAAGGTGGGAAGGGGAGCTAGCCCATTTGCCTTGTAGGCTCATCTTCACAGTTAAAAGTAACCAAGACGTTGGGGTGGCAATGTCCACAGTCAGTGGAGGGGCCTGAGCTCCACCAATCACAGGGGACAGCCAAGAGCCATTCAGCTAGGGCACCTGAGAAAAATGGGGTCCTGCCCCCCAGCGGGACAACGGTTCTCTTCATAAGTGCTTGGAACTGTTTCCAGGAAACACGACAATTACCCCACCTGAGCCCTCACCCCCAAAAGGAGAAGCAGGGTGTGTGGACTGTGCAGCAGAAACTAAGCGGCTGCCTTCACGGGAGCTCCTACCTCGCCAGAAGGCGTTGTTCAGGCACAGGCGTTTCTGGGCTGGCTCCTCACTCATGTGTCTCCCTGGCACTCTCTTCTTTTTCCTCATTTCCCATCTAGAAGACAAAGAAAGAATTGACTCGAAGAAGAATTAAAACACCACGTTCCTTACTAGACACTCAAAGCTTCATGTTAAAACAAAAACATCCTTAAAAATGACCATCATGGCTCCAGGAGCCTGCTATGCAGCAGGGGGCCTTCAAGTTCCTGGGAAGACCGTTCCCAGTCCCCCTCCAGCAGCTGCTGCCAGCCCCATGCCCCTGCGTATCACTCCACTGGGCCTGCTGCTTCTCATCCTGCACTGCCTCATCCCGGGCTTGTCTTCAGTGTACACAGAGCTGCTCATGAAGCGACAGCAGCTGCCCCTGGCACTTCAGAACCTCCTCCTCTACACTTTTGGTGTGCTCCTGAATCTAGGTCTGCACGCTGGCGGCGGCCCCGGCCCAGGCCTCCTGGGAGGTTTCTCAGGATGGGAAGCACTCGTGGTGCTGAGCCAGGTGCTAAATGGACTGCTCATGTCCGCTGTCATGAAGCACGGCAGCAGCATCACGCGCCTCTTTGTGGTGGCCTGCTCACTGGTGGTCAACGCCTTGCTCTCAGCAGTCCTGCTGCGGCTGCAGCTCACAGCCGCCTTCTTCCTGGCCGCATTGCTCATTGGCCTGGCCATGCGCCTGTACTATGGCAGCCACTAGTCCCTGACTACTTCCACCCTGACTCTGGACCCTGTAGATTGGGTGCCACCACCAGACCCCGCTTCCAGGCGCCCCTCCCTCTCCCCTCAGCAGCCATGTAACAAGTGCCTTTTGGGAAAAGCTGGAGAAGTGTGAGCAGCCAGGTTATTCTCTGGAGATCGGTCAATGAAGGGATACCACTAGGAGACTCGAAGAGTGGGTTTGGTTAAGGAAATGCTTACCATCCCCCATCCCCAACCACGTTTTTCCAGACTAAAGAATTAAGATAACATCAATACCTAGGCCTGAGAAATGACCCCATCCCTGTTGGGCAGCTCACTGCCTCATCCTGCATGAACACAGTTGATGAAACTGGGGTGTGGGCAACATGTGGCTTTCCTTGCCTACTTTGGTCACCCCAGTAGAGCCACTGGAGCTGGCTACTCCAGCCTAACCTTGGTGCCTGACTCTTCCATAAAGGATACTCAACATCCCACTTTCATGCAGGAAGGCCCAGTTGCCACAGATTACACAAACATTACCCCCACCATTCTGACAATCTTCCCCCAGTTCCAGCAATGCCTAGAGACATGCCTCCTGCCCTCTCCACAGTGCTGCTCCCCACACCTAGCCTTTGTTCTGGAAACTCCAGAGAGAGCTAGGCCTGATTCATCTCAGGGAATGTAGCCCCTAGGCCCTGGCTTAAGCCTACACTCCTGACCGCTCTGCTCACCCTGAGGGCCGTCTTGAAGCCCGCTACCCACTCTGAGGCTCCTGGGAGGTACCATGCTTCCCACTCTGGGGCCTGCCCCTACCTAGCAGTCTCCCAGCTCCCAACAGCCTGGGGAATCCCTGCACAGAGTGACCTGAGACAGGGTACAGGAAACCTGTAGCTCAATCAGTGTCTCTTTAACTGCATAAACAATAATATCTTACTAAAGTATTCTAGGCTGTAGGGTGCCTCCTACAACCACACACACACACAAAAGACCATCATCACAACAGGGCACTGTGGCTCATGCCTGCAATTCCAGCACTTTGGGAGGCTGAGGTGGGCAGATCACCTAAGGTCGGGAGTTCGAGACCAGCCTGACCAACGTGGAGAAACTCTGTCTCTACTAAAAATACATAATTAGTCAGACATAGCAGCACATGCTTGTAATCCTAGCTACTCAGAAGCCTGAGCCAGAGAATTGCTTAAACCCAGGAGGTGGAGGTTGCAGTGAGCTGAGATTGCAACACTGCACTCCAGCCTGAGCGACAGAGTGAGACTCTGGCTCAAAAAGAAAAAATAATCCAACACAATGACCTACCTGTGCTGCTTGTAGGCAGCCTTCCTCTCTGCCAAGGCTTAAGCACAGAGCTGTGGGGAGAAAAATACATCCAAGTCCTCACCTGTTAGACTATGCCCAAAAGCAAGGAAAACAAACAAAACTTAGCCAGTTGTCAAGAGCCTTTCTTGCAGAAGAGGTGACCTGAAAAAGCCACCACGCCCAGCCTGAAAGAACATCTTTCAAGTTCTTTGTAGAATTTGTTTTTTCTGATTTCTGCAAATAAAATAGAAACAAAACATGTACTGGGATTTTGATAGAAGCAATGGGTAATCTAAAAAGATGAAAGAGCCACCACATCTATCCCACAGTTTATGCTAGATTTCATAGGAAAATGAGCTGGTCCAGCTTGGAGCTAGAAGAAATGAAAAAAAAAAAACATGAAGAAATGAGAAATGAAGAAACATCATGATGCATGAACGTTTCATGGCACCCACGATGTCCCTCCTTGGGAGATAACAGAATAGGTGACTAGATGACAAGGAGCAAGATGAGAAGGTGCAAAGATGTCCAAGTCAAACAGCTCAACTGAATCGTCCTTAATGGAATACTTAAAAAGTGGTACATTAAAAAACATCCCCTCCCCGGGCATGGTGGCTCACTTGGAATCCCAGCTCTTTGAGAGGCCGAGGCGGGTGGATCACTTGAGATTGGGAACTTGAGACCAGCCCGACAAACATGGTAAAACCCCATCTGTACAAAAAACACAAACATTAGCTGGGGGTGGTGGTGACCGCCTGTAGTTCCAGCTGCTCGTAGGGCGGCTGGGCAGGAGAATCACTTAAACCCATGAGGTAGAGGTTGCAGTGAGCCAAGATCACACCATTGTATTCCAGTCTGGGTGACAAGAGTGAAACTCCATCTCAAAAAAAAAAAAAAAAAAAAAAGTAAGAAAGAAACACAGTTATGACTGTTGTCTATGGTTGTGACTACTGCGCTCATGCTGCAGTGGCAGAGCTGAGTGTTTGGAAGGAAGCCTGCCTGGCTGACAGAGCCTCAAGTACTATGCGATGCTCGGCTCCTTAAGTTTGCCAACCCCTGGGTTGGTGGCGGGTGATGATGCAAACATCAACACAATGGCAGAAGAAGGAATGAACTTTGAAGAACATTCTTTAGAGCCTACAAGAATGGAGGAGAAGAGGACGGATGAGCAGAAAGGCTCACACTTGGAATGCCAGTGCTTACGCAGCACACTCAAGTAAATACGTATCACTTATGAAATTATAACACAGCCAGTGGGGAAACAGAAAAACCAATGCACGACTTTTAAAAGGCTCATCCTAACGTGGTCCGAAAATTCCCTTGTGGATCCGAGAGTCTACATGGTACGTTTTGGAAAATGCCAGGTTATGGTAGTTATCAACTGTCTGGGAACATGGGAATGTATGTGTGTGTGTGTGCAAGCATGGATTTTTGGAATTACAAGATCTGTTTGGGAGAACTGTGTCCCACTGAGTTGACCTCTGACACCTGTCTAATACTGCTCTGTTTGATTAACAGAGTCCCTCCTACATCCTGATAGGAGTCTACTTTAGGACTCCACCAGGTTCCAGCCTGTCCCCTGCTTCCCTCACCATTGCCTGGTTCCAGGCTCCCAGGGATGGCAGGTACCATCTTGGCTTTGAACAGTGGGGACATCTGGAGGTAGCCCCGGCCATGGTGGTGGATGAAGAGGAGGTAGATGGTACTGAGGACCCAGAGGTACATGGGTGGCACCCACACTCCTGCTGTTCTCAGGAAGCACAGGCTCAGCAGACTGGTGGCGGCAGGTTCAGGCTCTGTCTGGTTCCAGACCTGAGGGAACACCAGGAGGACTCTCAGGAATGTAGACGGCAGGGGTCCCCAGCCCACCTGCCCAGGGGGCCTGGCGACTTTTTGGATCTCTAACATTTACACAGAAATGTACCAAGCACTCTTTGGAATACCTAATAATTCTCAACTTCTTTCATCCTGACATCAACCCTAGGTAGATGCAATTATCATACTGATTTGCAGATGAAGAAGCCGAGGACCAGAGGGGTTGAGTAGCTTGGCTGACTTTACCCAGCTGAGAAGTGGAAGGGCTGGGATTTGAACCCAGGGAGCTGGGCTCTGGGGCCTAGGAGACCTGGGCTCCATAATTATTGCTAGGCATGGACTGTCAGTTAATCCTTATAACAACTCTAGGACATAGGCCATACTGTCCCCATTTCAGAGACCAGTAGACTGAGGCACCAAGAGGGGAATTGCCTCCCTCAGGGCCACACAAATGGGAAGTAGCAGAACTGACTCTGACCCAGGTTTATCTGACCCCAAAGCTTGTCCGACTGGTGATCCTGATGTGATTTATTTTTATTATTATTTAATTTATGTTTTAGAGAGAGTCTCACTCCGTTGCCCAGGCTGCAGTGGCACAATCAAAGCTTACTAAAGCTTCGAACTCCTGGGCTCAATCAATCCTCCCACCTTGGCCTCCCAGAGTGCTGGGATTACAGGCATAAGCCCCCTCACCTGGCCTGGCTAATTTTTTTTTTTTTTTAATGTTTTGTAGAGATAGAGATCTCACTACGTTGCCCACACCGGTCTGGAACTCCGGGCCTCAAGCAATCCTCCTGACTCAGCCTCCTAGGTGCTGGGATTACAGGCAATGAGCCACCGCGCTCAGCTTCATCTGTTGTTTTTATCTCAGCAGTTCTGCTGGTCCTATCTAACCTTAGAGGAAATCTGAAGTTTAGTGGACATGGCCTCTCCACTTCTCTCTCCGCTGTCTTTTTATTCTCCCTGGTTTCACAACACACTGGCTGTGCAAACTTTAACCTCTGTGCCTCAGTTTCCTTCCCTGCAAAAGGGGGATGAGACTCTACCTCTATGAGTTGTATTAAATGGATTAGCAAACAAGAAAAAAAGAATAAATAAATAAATAAATGAATTAGTAGCAGCAAAGTTCACAGCAGTGTGGCACCATGTTGGGCACAAGGCTAGGCACAGAGGATCCCTCAATTCATACCAGCCTATTGCTTCACCTCCCTGGCCCTCAGAATGCTGGGAGCTTGCAACCCCCACCCCCATCCCCACCATGTACTCCACTCCCTGGAATCCTTTGCTAAGGGCAATGGGAAAATAAACCAGAGAGGTAAGTGTTCTCTGGGGGTAGGGGAGCTTGGGTAACCCACTAGCTTTAGGCAAATAAGGGTCAAAGGCCCTAGAAGCTGGGCGGTCTGGTGGCCCCTTAAACAGAGCTGTAGTATCGGGGGCCGGCTTGGTGAAAGGGGTCCAACCCGTGCAGTTAGGGGCTGGAGTAAGTCTCCTCGCTTCTGGGTCCAGGAATTTGGGGGTCTCTCCTCTCCCCAGTAACACAGCCCGAGAGATCTGCAGCCAAACCAAGCCTGGAAAAGGAGAGTGGGGCGCAATGTGAGGGGGCACTCACCTCCTGCCCCACGCAGGGCTCGCCAGGCACGGCCATCGGCGCCTCAGTTGTCCCGGGTCCCAGTGTCTGTCTGTAGCTCAGTGTCTGAACAGAGTTCTCCGCTGTGCTCCTGCCAGGGAAGGGGCGGGCTGCGCAGTTCCGGCTGAAATTGGAGCTCGGAGATCAGAAGGCCCCGGGCAAGGTCCAGCTGCCCGGCGGGGGTGGAGCCATAAGGGGTGAAAACAGGTAGGGGCGGGAGGGGGGCGCACTCGGGGAGCTGGAGCAGGCACCTGGTTGGTGGATCCCGGCACCCCTGAAAGTTCAGTGACACGTCCTTAGTTCCCTCTTCCCCCTGCAACAAGAGTCACTCTAAACTTCCCAAACACTTTGGACCCAGCAATTCCAGTTTCTCCTGATGACAGAACTCAAAGGTCTGTGATCATGTTCATAATATCCAGTGGGGGAGAAGATGCTATTCCTCCCAATATCGCAGGGCATGTACACCCCGCTGTGATATTGTTTGTTGTATTCAGGGAGGGAGAGTATAATATTCCTCCCAATGTCACAGGGAGTGTACATCCCCAAGTGATATTGTTCATAATATTGAGGGGAGGAGATGATATTCCTCCCAATATCGCAGGAAGTGCACACCCTTCTTGGATCCTGTTCATAATATCCAGGAAGGGAGAGGATGATATTCCTCCCAATGTTGCAGGAGTTGTACACCCGCAGTGATATTGTTCGTAATATCCAG